GGCCCCCCAAAAGCCGCGCACCAAAGGTCACTCTTACCCAGGGTCACTCTTGCGTGTAGCCGAGCAGCAGACGCGGCCATCAGCTTGCCTCTGCTCGGGCCGCGCGGCGGCCGCGCGCCCGGCTCGTCGGCGCCCGCGCCCCCGACGACCGGGCGCGCGCGGGCAGGCCGCCGCTCAACTCGCTGGCCACTGGGGGGGGCGAGGCTTCCGACGTCGAGGGGGGCCGGGTCCTCCCCGAGCCCCGCCCCCGCCATAACTGCACTCGGCAGAGCCCCAGCGACTCGACCCAGCTCATGAATGTCATTCATCAGCGGCTTGATCGGGCCATCTCAGGGGCTCACTTCTTCGGGATGTTGGGCAGGAAGCTGGCTGCTGCCACTGGCCCGGCGGGAGCGCCGCATGCCGCTTCGCAGGGGTCAGGTTCGCGCGCCCGCGCAGCGTTGCCCAGCCTGTGCTCGCGCGCGATGCGAGGTCGCCCGCTCGCGGGCGGCCTCAACATTTGCCGCGCTGTCTCTCCCCCGAAAGGCGGTGCAGCCGGAGGCGGGCAGGAGGCGCGAGAACCAGATGCCGCGCGCCCACTCCCGTTCTCCTGGCATCCTTCGAACGTGTGCATTTTTTTCTCGGCGAGGACCTTCGAGGAGCATCCTCGACCATTTGGCGAAAAAAACACGCACGAAACCGAACAGAACACACAGGAAATGAACGTCCGAGCGATGGCCAGTTCTCCAACATCGATAACATGATCGCCAGTTGTGCTATCTGCTCCACGCGGAACGAAGCTCCGTCGATCAATGCCACGAAACACAACGAGGATTTATCGCAGGCCGGGCCATGCACGGCAATGTTCTGCAGGCGGACGGCGCGCCCGCGATGATGGGGCGACCTTTTCCACGAGCGCCGCCGTGGCTTCGCCCCCTTCGGCTTGAAGAGCGCCTTCCCGAGCGCCTGCCACTCGCGGGGCGCGTCGCCGTGCCTGCCCACGTGGGGCCCCCAGCAGTCCTCCCCCCCTTCGCTCCTGCTCGTCTGTATGCTGACGTCTGGGCAAATATCCGCGTGGATTCTTGCGGGCAGTGCGGGTGCTGGGCGATGGAGGGGCGCGAAGCGAAGCAGGGTTGCCCTCCTGAGTGAGGCCGCATGGGCCCTCGCTCACAGCCCGCGCGTTCGGCGCCTCCTGCAGCCCCGCCCGCGCCTGGAGTTCGAGCCCGGTGTCTTCGCTGACGACGCGCACTGAATTGCCCGCAACCTGCATCGCGCGACCCCGTCTGTCTGCAAGCGGATGACCGCGCTCGGCGCTGCCGCGGGGCTCGCGCTGAACATGGAGAAGTGTGCGATGGCGATGTCGCGCGTCAGGGACAGGGGGGGGGGGGGGCGCGTTGCAATGTTTCCGGGCATCTGGTTCAGACGTCCATCAAGTTCAGCGTTCTGGCAGCCCCCTGGGCCCGACTGTCGGCGAAATGATTGCCTGGGTTGGCATCGCTCGGACGTGTGCATTTTTTCTCGGCGAGAACCATCGAGGACCGTCCTCCGTCCTGGACCATCGACCACAAAAAACATACACGAAACCGAAAACAAACACGGGAAATGATCGTCCGAGCGGCGGCAAGCTGGGCGCCTCGGGGGAAGGTGGGGCGGGACCTTCGGGACAGGACTGAGGGCGCTCAGCAACTCGGCGTGAGTTTCATCGAGTCCATCAAGGGCTACGACGCGCACGCCCTGCCCGTCGCCCCCCCCGTCTCCCAATATTGTCATTGAGTCGGGCCTGTCCCTCCTCAGGGGGGATATTCAAAAATAGTAAAAAAAGAATAGTCTGGGGATTATTGTTGAACATTTGTTTGACCATTTTGGGGGTACTTTTTGGGGCATGTTTTATTTTTCGTCGAAAATCCCCCTGTAGGGGTACACGCCCGACTTAATCTTATCAGCCCTCTCCAGCCATCCTGATTCGCGAACGCGAAGCGCATCAGCTACTTCCCTGGGCTCCTAGGAACGGTTTCCCTTTAAACTGTGCGTTCCACATGAAGTCCGTCGGCCTTCCACTGGCGCCCAGGTCGATCCAGTTTTTAAGTCGAGCGTCGATGATCCGCGCCGCCCGTCGGTCTGGCCGGTCTGCTGTTCTGCGAAAGCGCTTCCAAGCTGCGCTGGAGGACGACCGGCGCGCGCCTGCGCGACGCCTGGGCGTATTTCTGCAGGTCCACCTGCTCCCATCTGTCCAAGGTCTACGACCCACATATTGCTATCCCGTGAGCCCCCGCGGATAAGTCACCGAAGTTACTGCTGAGTGCCATCACGAAACTCCTCATCCAGATTCGCCCACAAGTCTATGCTAGTTAGCTTGTTCGCGCCCGCACAAGGCATTGGCTTCAGAGGCAACTCGAATTGATGCTGTTGCTGATATTGTTGTCCTTCGGTTTATCGTTCTGAGCAAAAGGGACCCCAGCTTGAATATAACGCCCCGACGTCCCTTCTAAGAAGCAGTGCTGAATGCGTGGCCAACCACTAGACGTTGTCGCCAATCCATTACATGTTGCGTGTTTGGCTGTGCTAATTTTGAGGCACATCTAATCTTCAACTAATTCGCCTGCTCTGTGGTCGTATCATTAATTCGTGAGACGCTGGCATCCCTTCCACCCGGGTGGGGACATTGGGCTCTTATTTGTTTCCTGCCGCATCTCTGGCCTTCCTCCCATCGTTGCCCTCGTGTGTCCGAGCGCGCACATGCCTGCGCGGTCGCTGCCGATCTGATTTTTGTCCTCGTTCCATTCCTCCAGGCGATGGGGGGGGCAGGACAGGTCTGTCGCTGCGCGTGCCGTTCAAGGCTTGGCCCGCGTCCATCTTGCCAGGCAGGCTGGGATGTGGGACCTGCTGCACTAGCGCATCGCACGCATCTTCTCTTCCTTCTCCTCCACCTCCTCCTTCTCCATTCCTTTTCCTTATGAATAGCTTCGCCCTTCCGCGCCCCGAGGCCACTCTTTAGGGCGCGCCAGGTGTTTCGCCTGAGACTTCCTCGCCACTTATGACCCTAGAGTTTCAATTTTGGCAACGGTTTCACACTAGGAGGGCGGGTCGGTTTCAACATGTAGCTCTCGCTTTAGCGCCGCGGACATTCGTCTTTGACATTTGCAAGAGCTTCACGGATTGAGGGCGACCCGTTTTCAAGATGTGGTTCCCCCCGGAGCGCCGCGTGCATTCGATGTAAAAAGTTGCACGAGCTTCACGGATTGAGGGCGGTTCCTTTTCAACATGTGACTCTCGCCGTAGCGCCGCGCACATTGGTTTTTAACATTCGCAAGAGTTTCACGGATTCCCATGAGCAGCGTACCAGAATTGGTATTATGGAAAGGTTCTGGATTATGAAGGCGCAACAGTTACGTTGATTCGTGGTGTGGAAGCACCAGGAATGGCGTTCTGGCACGACTCAGGACCGTCAAAACGCAACAGTCCGGTTGATCCGTGGCGTTAGAATCCAGAGAACAATGTTTGGGCATGCTTCAGGGTATTCAAACGGTTGTCTTCCAACGAGGCAGTTCCCTCAGTGGAAATGAGCCGATGTAAGGGGCCTATGAAAAGGGAACTTGGAGGGAGGGTTGGTTCCAACATCGTTGATTACTGTTAGGTTTACGTTGGTCTTCCTCCTCGTCCTCCTCCTCCTCCCCCTCCTCTTCCTCCCCTCCCATCTTATGATGATGAGCCCCTTCCCTGAGAAGCGGATCTCCTTTCCTTCTAGCAGGACAATGAAATCCTCGCGTCGTGGACAAGACACGACGGAGTGTTCATGGCAATGTTCGGCCTCCGGGCATCCTGACCAGGGCCTGTTGCCATCGAAAGCATACTCAGGATACAGACCTTTTCTCGAGAGGGTGTGCAGGCCTCCTGGCAGACGCGGGATGTGTGGGTCGACCTGGCATGTTTTACTCCATCCCCAAATTCTGACCCCAGGACGTCCCCGCGGGTGTCCTCGGATGCCCCTGGAAGCACCAGGAGCCGCAACAAAAAGGCAGCAACAACACACGAAGGTCTCCAATGTTTCGATCCTCGAGGGTCGAGAAGGGAAAACAGATCGGAAGGCGCTGGGGGGGCGCTGCACTCTTCTTACTGGAGGAGGAAGAGGGGAAGGATGCACTATTCCTCGAACGAGGGGGCGGAGGACTATGAAGACTTGATGGTGGAGGAGCAGCAGGAGGAGCTCATTCTCCTGCTCTAGGTACTGTCGTTGTTCCTCGTTCCCTCCTCCTCCTCCTCCTCCTCCTCGTTCTCCTCCTCTTGCTCGTCTTCCTCCTCCTCCTTCTCCTCTTCCTCCTCCTCCTCCGCCTCCTCCTCCTCCTCAGCCTCCTCCTCCTCCTCCTCCTCCTCCTCCTCCTCCCCCCCCTCCTATTGCTCCCCCCTCCTCCTCCTCCTCCTCCTCCTCGTCCTCCTCCTCCTCCTCGTCTTCCTCCTCCTCTTCCTCTTCCTCCTCCTCTTGTTCCTCGTCCTGCTCCTCCTCTGCCTCCTCCTCCTCCTCCTCCTCCTCCTCCTCCTCCTCCTCCTCCTCCTCCTCCTCCTCCCCCCCTCCTATTGCTCCTCCCCCTCCTCCTCCTCCTCCTCTTCCTCCTCCTCCTCCTCCCCTCCTCCTCCCTCCTCCCTCCTCCTCCCCCCTCCTCCCTCCTCCCTCCCTCCATCCTCCTCCACCTCCTCCTCCTCCTCGTTTCTCCTCCGAGCCTCCTCCTCCTCCCTTCCTCCTCCTCCTCCTCCTCCTCCTCCTCCTCTTGCTCCTCCTCCTCCTTCTCCTCCTCCCCTTCCTCCTCCCTCCTCCTTTTTCCCCCCCCATTTCTCTCTCCTCCCTCCTCTTCTCTTCCCTCCAAAGGTTGCAGCAGAAATCGACAACCACAGCCAACAAAACAAGAGCAGTACACAAGACCTCCCGCCCGCAGGCCGCCCGCCCGCGGTGGTACCCAAGACAGGGGTGCGGGTCCGCCGCGCGACGCGGAGCGCCGGCGGAACCGCGGCGGGCACCGGCAGGACGTCTCTCTCGGAGAGGGGGAAGCTCAGGGGCAACGACTGGGAAGGAAGACTGGTCCTGGGGGCAGGGATTCCAGGGTCGAGGTTTGGGATTCAGATTTTCGCAGGTTTTCGGTGGCTTTCCAGTCTCGGGATGCCTTCCAACAGCTGCGCCTCTCCGAGAGCGTTCCGGGCGCGTTCGGATCGTCCAGAACGGCTGCTGGAAGCCCGAGTTATGACCCGAAAGCCACCAGGGTGACGGCTCGGGGGTCCAGGCGTCGTTTCCAGCAGGACCCGTTTCCCTCATGGTAAGCAGAGGATCGGGCATCGAGAGAAGGCCTACCCAGGCAAGTCGGCGTAGGAAATTTGCACGGTTTCTGTGATATTGCGTGTGTGCATGACACGCACGCGCTCCACCCGCTCCACTCGCTCCACTGCGCTCCACTCCGCTCTACGCGCTCCCTGTTTGCCAAGGCACAAAAGGCGCTATCACACTGGCAGCGGAGCTTGCTATACTGTCTTCGGCGACCGCACGACTGCGCAGGACTGGTCTCTCTTCAGAGAGAGTTAGTTTCTCACGATCAATTGTACTTGCTTGATCAGTGACCCTTCCAAAGGGGACTGTAGATTGCGTTGCTACTTGCCTGCGCCGTGGCACTGTTTTCCCTTCGCTACCGACCAAGTTTTGATTCGTTGACCAGATCAGAGCCGAAGAGTGGTTCTTACATCTACGACGGCACAGTGGACAACGTCCATGAATGGAAACTCCGCGCAGAGATGCGCATGGGTGCTGCCTTGGCCTACGTTGATCCTGCAACGAGAGAGCCACTGCCACACGCTGTCACCGCAGCCGTCAGTAATGTGATAGAGGGCCTCAGAGGCGACGCTTGCGATATAGACATGGATACCGGTAAAGACGCGCCTGACTAAAGCAGACATCAAACTACTGATATAGACGATCCGTACTTCGTTCTTCCCCACAGAGGCGCAGGAAGCCAAGATCGTTTGCCAAGTAAGACAGAGACCCTACGGGCCAATTTGTCGACAAAACGGCGAGTTCATGGTCTCGTACATATCACGCAGGAAGCGTTGGTGGACGCTTGTATCTAAATTCGACCCGAACCTCACGATGAGTGACGACATGCTTGGATCTCTTCAATGGGACCATGCAGGATCTTCGCTGTCGGAAAACTTGATGGTAATGGCCTCAACGGGTAGCGTGACCAGTTTCGACAACGTCAAGGACGTCTTGATATTTCAAGATGGCCGTACCCACATCCGGCAACAGGGCTGAGGAGACTCGGGCAAGAGCTCCGCCTTCACACAGTGGACGCATCGAAACCTTAGCAGGGGCAAGGGCAAGGTCAGGTATTCCAGGCCGCCGCAGGCATACCACGCTGCCTGCGACACCTGGTGCGAGCAGGAGGAGCACTACCCCGAGTAGCTGAGCTCTTATGGTTATACAGCGTCCAGCTACACACCAGAGTATGGCTAGGACGACGACTCTTGGTGGACAGACACTTGGACAGATGACCAGACCTGGGGCGACGGCGACCCTCGCGCTTACTGGGCAGCCGCACCGTGCGGAGATGAACTTGACGCCGGAGCAATGGCGCAAATGGTCAAACACGGCTACATGGACGAAGCACTTTCTGAGGTGATCCAGTCGCATGGAGATGATCCGGTGGCCGACCTTGGCGCCAAAGGAAGAGGCAAGAGCAGAGGCGTAGGAAAAGGTCACCGTCATCGCCCTTGGGTGGCGGCAGGGGAAAGCTGACCGTGGGAGAGCGCAGGGCTCGCCTCCAGGAGATCAAGAGACAACCGAAGCGGGAGACTTGCGACGAGAATGGCCAATGGTCTAGGGGCCCTGAGCGCAACAGAAAACCCAAGACGGCCATGATAGCGAATGCTGGTGAGCGGCCGCTCCGATTGCGCGAGGACGGCGACGATCATGTCGCGCCCACGGGACCTGCTGCGATATACCCCACCATTCGTCAGCATCGCGACATCTGCAACACGCCGCGCGCTATAACCCTTTTTTTGCTTTTCCCTTTTCACCGCGCGTCGCGCAATGTCGGAGGGCATGCTTGAGCGACGGGTGAGAGAGGCGCAGCGGGCAGCGCTGTTCGACGGAGGGGCCTTCGGAAGAGCATCGAGAGTTGCCTCGAGGGCGCCCCATTGCCCGAGGCCGTTTTGGCTCGCAGCCCCGAGCGCGATCGCGCGGCCGCGACTCGGCACAGCTCCCAGTCCCCGTCGGAGGCTGGAGAGAGGCTGCGCGCGCACCTGGCACTTCGCGCGTCGGCTTCGAGGGCTGCCGCCCCGTGCGCTTCGACCGATGCCCCCGAGAAGTATTCGATGAACAGTGTTTCGGATGAAGAGTTCGAGACCGCGCCCGTTCAAGAGTTGGTTGCTGGTCTTGGTCATGACGCGACTTTTATCATTTGTCTGCATCAATGATACGCCTCATCCTGTTCCTTGGGATCGTGGCATCAAGAAGCCGAGTGAGGAGTTGAAAGCCTTTTTAGC